AAACATACAAAACCCTCACAACGCAAACCCACAGAACAACAATGCACAAAGCCCCAAACCCAACCCCACAAAAACTCCACCGCCAAGACACAAAATACAAAACCCACAACACCCCCCGCCAAAAACACAACCAACCAACACAAAATCCAACCAATAACGCACACTATACAAAACCCTCAACAACCACAAAGGACAACCAGCCAACAATATGCAAAATGCAAAACCCACAAGAAACACAGACCACAACCAACAACACACACAAACCCAACCTTCACAAAAAGTACACAACAGACACCCAGAAAACCAGTCACAACAAAGTAGAAACATTGTCTAATACAACCCAACAAACATATGACTTCAACACAAACCCTAAAGACACCCACACACCCTAACTGCACACTACACAACAGAAACCCACAGCACACAACTGGAGAACAAATACAACAACACAAAACCCACCTGACACACTCTCCAAATGGACACAACATCACAGCACATACTTCAATAACACAACCCCCCTGCAACAACACAACCACCACCACATACCCCTCCCATTCCTTGCCACAGTAATACAACCCACCCCACCAACACACCACCGTCTTTTTCTCTCTCTCACACACACACAATCCACTCCCACAGCCAGATACAACCACACAATCCCCAGTAACACAACACTTGCTGTCAGCCATACACACACCCCGACACTGAATAATGTACACACAACCACCAACACCCAAATGCACACAACTCACATGTGGACACTTCTATATGCCCCCCCCAATCACACACGCCATATACATATAGGTACAAACCAAAACACACAACACCGTCACACCACTACACAACACCACAACATATACACAAGCATCTCACAGGAATACACAGGAATACACACAACATCTCACACAAATACACAACATGCACGCCAACACACATGCAACCCTCCACCCTCCAAAAAGATGGGTCACTCAACTGCGACTACACAAACGCAACACACTGAGCCACACAACCCAGCACACACGGAGACAGCACTCCCTGCACAACCCCATTCTGTAACACCCCACAAACATCTCCACAGAGGCTAAACACAGAGTAGCACAATGACACACTCGGCACGAACATGACAGTCGCACATGTGTGCAGTCGACACACACAGCAAGTGCACCAATGCACAGCTGGTACACAATTGACACACACAACATAAACAGCACACACAATGGATATACACAACACACACAATACACACATACACAATTGACACACTCAATTGATAAACACAACACACACCCAAGCGACACACCCAATCAATATACACAACACACACACACACAGTGGACACACCCGATCGATATACATAACACACATCCAAGCCACACAGCTGATCGATATACACCACACATACAGTTGCCACACCCAATTGATATACACAACACACACACAGAGTCGATGAACCTGGTGGATATACACAACACACACCCAATCGATATATACAACACACACTTGATGGATATACACAACATGCACAGTCGACACATCCGATGGATATACATGACACACACCCGATCAATACACACGACACACACGCACACCCAGTCGACACACCCTACCGATATACACAACACACACCCGATTGATACACACAACACA